TGAACCAAATCATCACTGTAAACAGCTTTATGAATGCTCCTATCTCCGACACTACACACAAAAAAATAACTCTTGCACGCCTTGCGTGCCTATGTTTGCTGATGTTGCCAGCGAAAAACCTGTCTTGTTTAACTATAGTTTTTCCAAAATGTTGGAGACGCAAAAAAAAAAAACTGTATTTCCACTCTCCTGGTCAAATTTGACGCTGAGAGAAACCATTTTCCTTAATCTATCAGCAAGCACGTCCTAGAAACAGATCAGAAAACCATCAAAACTGGAATTTAGGAGGATTTCGTTTTAAACATGTAAACAGAGGAATCGCATTTCCATTACCATGGTGACTGCAAGTAGATTATTAACTCAGATTTCCTCGTGCGTACTTATCAAAAATCTATTGTCTCAACAAAACAAAGCTTTTTCCCAAAGTTTCGAAGCTTTACCCTCCAAAAAAACGATTCAAAACAAATAATTCAGTAATTAATTGAGCTTCTAAATATAAAAACGACGAGCCAAAGTAAATATAGTCCCATTTGAACAACATGCATCCATTTTGTGAAGCACAAATAAAGAAATCATGTAAATTTGTTTACCTCAAATTTTTGCTTCTAATTTCGAGCTAACCATAAAATTACTTTCGTATTTACTTTAAATACCTTTAGGATTGTTATCAGCCTCAAAAAACATTTTCAGGATCTTTAAAAACCGTTGAAATCCTTCAAATTGCTAGTTCAACAAAGGTCGGCCATTGTGACTTGAAATGGTGTGACTTTGCAAAATCATCATGTAGGTAACATTAAGCCACGCAAAACTACCAATGTGATTGTTTTTTTTTTAATCAACTTCCTATTGTCCAAAGTTCAGACGAAAAAGAAGTAACATAACTTTTTGACAAATTTTTCTGTCATCACTCTTCAAGAAATGTGTTAATCATTAGTGTTGAAAGTAACAGGGCGTGACCGGGAAGAGTTTTAACTGCATGGGCTGGAAACTACAGAGGATCAGAAAACAGATTTTTCATGTGTGTATACACGATAGAGGGGAGCTGCAGTTACTTGATATTTTTTCAAAATCCCAAAGCCATGCAACAAATAGTGAAAAAGGCTCAAAAGAGCAATTGGGCCATTACAATTGAAGGCTTTCATGTAAAAAGGGTGCATATAGCATTTTGGGCTGATTTTTATTTTTTGCAGGATCGAGCTAATTTTTGGCAGACTGACTTGTTTTG